TCCTATCCATCCACTAGGAACTGTCACCTGCCACCTCCCAGAGAGAGACTGGGAGGTGTTTTCCTGAAGTAGGAGCCCAATTTCAAGCTGACACTGGAGGGCTTGTGTTGTTAAGAGAATGTACACTGGGGTCAACTAGCAAATCCCACCCTAGATACATGTGCACATTATTCTCATTTTATTGATGAGGGTGTCAAGGTTGAGGAAATCCAGACAATGAGAGAACAAGAGACTCAAACCAAGGTGTGTGTGACTTTGCGCCCTGGGTATTTCACCCCTCTACTGTATGGTTGAGTGGGAGTTGTCACTGGTTAAGGGGACAGCCCTTTGGCAAGGAGCGTCAGCATAAAGTCTGGAGTGGTGGTACCATGATGCGATCAGACTCAAGTTCCAGAGCTGGGCTAGATGTTGGAGGGCAATTCGTGTTTATGGGTAAAGGGGTGCTGGCAGAACCGGTGGGACTGGTAAGGGCTCAGGAATGTGAAGGAGGGGCTAGAGCCCCTTAGCAATCCTCTGGCTTCTCAGTCTACTCAACTCTAAGCACAAAATTCTGGGGTCATCAGCTTAAGAGCAGTTTTTATTTTTTATTTATATTTATATTTTAGTTATTTATTTTTGGTACCAGAGATTGAACCCAGGGGCCCTCAACCACAGAGCCGCATCCCCAACCCTTTTTACCTTTCATTTTGAGACAGGGTCTCTCTAAGTTGCTGAGGCTGGCTTTGAACCTGCCTCAGCCTCCAGAGCCGCTGGGATTGCAGGCATGTGCCACTGAGCCGGGCCCAATAGCAGTTTTTTGATATTTGATTCCTGTGTTGGTCAGCTTTCCATTTTTGTAACCAAAAATGAATCAACTTTGAAGGAGAGAAAGTTTCAGAGGTTTTCATCCAGGATCACTGGGCGCTATTGCCTGGGGCCTCGGCAGGACAGTGCATCATGATGCAGAATGTGCAGCAGAGAAGCTGCACATGGTGGCTGGAAGGTGGACAGAGAGAGAAGAAAGCTGGGATCCTATGTCCCCTTGGAGGGCACACCCCCAGTGGCCTAACTTCTTCCCACCAGGGCCCATCCCCTGTAAAGGTTCTCCCACCTTCCAGCAGCACCACAGGCTGGTGACCAAGCCTTTAACAGGTAGGCCTTTGGGGGACATTTCCAGTACAAACTCCAGCATTTCCCTTGAAGGGAAATTGATCTTCCTTATTCGGCTGGGGTAGTTTGTGGTAAGACCCCCAGGAGAAAGGTATGCCCTTTAGTGCAGAGCTGACCTTCTTTACAGATTTATGTTCCATAGGGGGATTTCTTCACCAAGAATTCTTATTCCCCAGGGGGAAAAAGAACTAGGAAACTCTGAGAAAACCTCAAAACCTTAAGTTGTTATATATATGTTTTTAAAAGTGGGGTACCATGTGATGGTTTGGTTGTGTGAAACTCAATAAGCTGAAAAGGAGAATAATCATATTTATAGTCCATCACATGTTTGGGGAGAGATAGAAGGACAGTCTTAGGGTGGAAGGACATATCACAGGCAAACACCATGTAGGAGAAATATAATGTGAGCCACTAAGTAATTTTAAATTAGCCACCTTAAAATTTAAGAGAAGCAAATGAATCAATTTTAAGAATATTTTTGACTTAAACCTGTATTTCCAAAATATTATTATTTAAACTTCTAACCAATGTCAAAAGTTACAGACATTTTATGATTTTTTTTTCACAAAGCTTTGAAATTCAGTGTGTATATTATTACAAATCTCAATGCAGGCTAGCTCCATTTCAAGATCTGTGGGTTTAGTTTCTAAGTCTGAGAGACAAGAATAGGCATGGAAGATATCTGGAAAATAGAGAGAAAAGGTGTAATCCCAAAGTAGGGCAGAGTGGAAGAAATCAAAGAGGAGTTTTGGATAGAAAAATTCAGCAAATAGTTATCATCCTTACAAATCTAGTCAGATATTGATATAGGAAGGGATTACACATCTCTATTCTGGAATATATTCAATTAAAAAACATTTTATGCATCTAACCCTCCTTTGGGAGAGCCTCCAAAAAATTCAATTGCAAACGAGATGTGTGATTTTATGGTCTGTGAACAAGGAAGAATATTTTACCTATGTAAATTTAGAAATTGCTAGATACTACAGAACACAATGTCTCTGGTTATTGCAACTTTAAAAGAGAACCTTTACATCATCTGTCAATGTGATTACTTAGACAAACTATAATAGTTATATGTTCTCCCCATAGTATTGTGAAAATTAGCTCATGTTATCATCTGATAAGTAAATAGCAATATATTTCTCCCTTTAAGATGCTTTTTAAAGGAAAGGCTTGTAAGAAATGGAGCATTTCAACACTATTTATTCAAATTATCTCAAGGAAATGTAACATTATAAGATAGATAGCAATTTATGGGGAAAATGTCTTGGAGAGGGGTTTTCTGAAAACAAACTTTTGAAAACAAAATTTTGTCAAATTTATGATATTTTGAGTCCCTTAGTATAGGAGAAAAGTAATTAAAGTAAGTACACACTGATCTTTAGAATGAGTCGAGTGGCATGATTTCCAGATCGTTTGGAAGGCCTTCATGCACCCTGGACTCCCACCTGTGCACTCCAGTGTGAAGGCAACCTGAGAAGCTTATTCATCTAGACTTTCCCAGGCTAAATGATAATATGCTGTGGAGCTGACCTTGTAGGTTGGTACCAGTCATTTTTGCAAAGCATGATTAGGAAACAAAACACCACACCCCTTCTAGCCTACTCTGCCTTTCCATACTCACTTCTAAGTAAACTGCCATACTTGACTTCATACTCTTCTTTCAGTTCTCACTGGTCTTTCATTTTAGGCAGACAATTAGTAAAAACATTAAAGCATCCAATTTAGTAAATTCTCAGAGAATTTTCATACATGCAATATCTCTACATGCCTTTAGCTCTGCCTCACCCAGAACCTGTGTTTCATGGGTGTACACTTCTTTTCTAATCTTAGACTCTTTAATTTTATGAATATATAACATGGTGGTATTGAAAAGATGGTTAATGCTTAAGTTCTAAATGGGAGCAAAGTAAAATCTAGGACAGGTATGAGAAGGGGCCAAGGAAAGATTTTTAGATATGAAAAAATAGAATTACAGAAGTATATAGTAGTAGGACAGATACTGGGTGATGTGATTGCACAAGGGAAGAGTTTTCCTTTTAATTCCTTTCACTGAGGTTATTCCGAGAGTGATAGGGAAAGAAAATGGATATCATCAATTTCATGTACTATTACTTAGTCAAGCATAGCTATACTTACTAATAAAAGCAGATTTGAGGATATGCACGGATCACACCCTCCATTCCCCCTGTTTTCTCCTGGGAGTCTAGGAGGATGGCTGTTTTTGTGTTCCTTGCTAGATATCAGGGGGTGGCATCTCCCAGGAAGCAGATTGGGTGTTAGCATGTGTGTGTATGTGACTGTGTCCCTGGCGGTAAGCAACAGAGATGACTTCAGGCTAATTTAAACAGAAGGGTTTCATGGGCTCATAGAATGGATGGTAGG